AAAAAAAAAAGGAAATGGTCATTCTGGTGTTTTCCAAATTAAGAGAAAACTTTAATTTGAGACTTGAATTTGTTCATAAAATTGCTTTGTAAAGTGTTAGTCCTTGCTTGGTTCTGTTCAGAAGGCTTAATATGTTGTAAATATTAAAGTATGAGAACAATAATAGAAACCAATTTAGAGTATTTATTTTCATTTGACTAAAATAAGACATTTAATTTTTTATATCATGTCTTCACTTTTAGCTCTTCCTGTAAGTTTGTATCTGGCGGGTAGAAGAGGTGTTTGGAGCAGGTCCAGGGCTTCACTGGGCGCTTTTGATCTGGAAGTCAGGCCCAGGGCCGCTTCAGGCTGCCATTCATGTTGCTAAGACCATCAAGTCAAAGCAGAAGTGCAGGTGATGTACTCAGGAAACATAATTGGGTGCCCAGTACAGCCAAAAGGTGTCATAGCATCAAAATGGCTCAAAAATAATGTCAGCTAAGTACACTTCTTTGGGTGTCAGTGTCATCCTCCTTCATGCGCTCAGTAAAGGGAAGCTTAACCGAGGCATCTCATTCTGTCAGCCCTCATGCCCAATAATTCCTGAAAAAAATAGATGAAGAAAATATGGTGTTAAAAAATGGCAAGCTTAATTTCCTTTTGATAAAGACATAGCCAAAACATCTAAGCTTGAGAACCTCAAGTGAAATGTGAACTTGCTATAGGTTCAGGAGGAAGGGACAGAAAGTGCAGCCGGGTCGATTGGTGAATTCTGTAACTGAAAAGTCATTCAAGAGAAAGGACCAGTTCCTTATGTCGTTCGTCTCGGATGAACTGTGATAAGCATTTTTTTCCCGTTGAACAGGGAAGGTGCAATTTTATTCCTGTGCAATCCAAGGTGGGTTCATCATTGTGCTTAATCCTAAAGCAAGCAGGAAGACCAGGAAATGAGGGTCCCTGCATTTCTCAGTTTGGCTCTATTTTTTTTTCCTCTTGAGATTTTCAAGATTAAAGATTTATAGCGAAGAAAACAAAAACGTTACTAGGGCAGAATATTTATTTCTTTACCCCTGACATTGTTATTTTATTTTATCCTCCTCTGCTCGTGGATTCCTCCAGCGGGTTTGGCAGGAAATGTGCCCTAGAGCTTATATGTCCTGGCGGGGGGAAGATCTCTCTCACACAGGCAGTAACAAAGCTATTCACAGGCGTGCGAATGGAAGCAGATTACTATTGTGCTCATCTGGTAATTTTGTGGAGGAAAAAGGTTTGAAAACAGAGTGATACAGGAAACTGCCTTGCTGGTGTGTGTGAAGGATGTCCTGCTGGCTGGCTGACCAGCCACTGCCCTCCACGTCAACTAGAAAACGTAGTTTCAGGGTAAAAATTGAGATAAGCACCAGATTGCTTGTTTTCGTAACTGGTTCTTGTTAAAATGAGAGAAGGAAAATTAATTTCTTGGTCAGTAGGATCAGGCATTAGTCACAAGGAAGTGAAATGCCAAAGGGAAGGCAGTAGTGGTGAAACACTTCCCAGGAGAAGCAGCTTTTAGGAGTGTAGCAGGTGGGAAAAGGAGCAAGGCAACTGTGAGAGACAGAATGAAAAATAAAAGTGCAGCAAGCAGGAGGGGTGGGATGTGTGAGCAATCCAGAGCACTACAGGTGCACTTACCATGAGGAAAATGCAACGGTGACCTTGTTAAAAGTCATCCGCATGATACCGTAAGAACCCAAATCCAATGAAATGCGATGGGCTATGGGAAAAAAAAGGAAGATGACGGTTAGTTTTAGTCACATTCCTGTCAGGGCACTCACTTGCCACACTGGTCCAGCCTGAGCTGCCCTGGCTCTCTCCATAGAGGGCACGGCCCAAATGATCCCGATCCCTACTGCAAGTTCGTGCTTATCAGCCAGTTAAAGTGACCGGCCCTATCCTATAGCACAAATATTTGAGGGAGAAAATTGTAGGTTGTACACCTCAGTTTATCGACGTTTGCTTAGAAAAGGAAATGCATGTGTCAATTTTGTTCTGATCAAATGTTGCTAGTTTTAAATAAACAGATTAGCTGTAGTCCATGCTGGTTCCAGCTCCGTATGTCGGTGTGCAGTCCCATCTGAAGATGTCTTTAGGGACGCTTTTCTGTTTGCTTTTGGGAAGTGACTTGCTCTTGGAAGGTGTGATAGATGCCAAGGACGGGACTAGGAACAAGAATCCCACAAAACAAGCTGCAGCCAAGCAGCTCTTCTCTTCCTATTCAAAGGGCACAAAGGCAGAGGAATAACATAGCAAAATACAGACTTCTCTTTTGCCTTAGGACATACCCAGTTACTTTAAGTCCTCTCCATAGCACGACTTTTGCAGATTATTTCCTAGTCCATCTACATATATGTTTGACAGATGGTAAATAATTATAGCTCAACCCTAGAAGCTGTATTCCTCAATCCTCCTCTTACTTTTTCTATAGGGAAAAATATTTTTGTACCTTAAAATACTCTGTTTTGAATTGGCAACGTAATTGATATACTGGATGCAGTTTAGGCCTGAGAATCATCTGAACTTTTTAGTTTGCATCCATGCTGATTTGTGCCAGAAAGTACCACTGTGTGTATTTCTGCAATATACCCTCTGGCTGTTAATGCCATGCCCCGTGTTGGTGGTAGGGATCTAAGCAAGTGGTTCTGTGAGGGGTTTCAGTGCTAATGACGTATATTATGTCCACTTTTTGTCCAACATTACAGGTGCAACATTAAATTATTGTACCAGAAGGACTCCCATTGATTGCAGTGAAGGTTATATGGGTATCAGTAAATCAAAACAAGCTTTGAAAAGATAGCAAATCAATGGATATGAGGAATAGGAAAGATGTAGATGTTGAAGCTTTTCTTTTAACCTTGGCTACTTTTTATAGCTCTAATCTAACTGTTTGAGGTTTGTTTGCCTTTTTTTTTCCCCCAAGAGTTGGTTTGACTGAAAATAAAAATGTAAGCAACTACAGATAGAAGTAGAGACTGATTTCTTTTCATTATCTTTTTGAAATAGCATTTTCAAAGCAAGCTTTTCACCATGTATTAGGTTTCTAATACATTTCTAATAGCAACAACCAGTGTAAGCTAGTAATGTTTCTTCCCTGAGACCTGCACATCTATATAAAACCTGGGAAGTTTATGATATAGGAATGCTCCAAAGGAACATTTAATAATATTTTGCTCTGTTTTTCTTTACAGAATTTCTACCCAAATGCCAACAGATGAATTGCCGATACAAATGTGCCATTACGAGGAATGGCACCAGGTGTTACTGTGAAGATGGGTATGAAGCCAGCAGTGATGGAAGAAGCTGCAGAGGTAAATAAGAAAGACACTGTAAAGTTGAGACCCAGGCTTCCTAGTGCTCCCTTGCAGAGGGATAATCACAGAGTTTCACCTCCATAAGGAGAGCTAGGGCCTCCCTGCCAGCTCTTTGGTCTTCCTGTGCCTGTGCCCTGGACTCCTCCTGGGAGGAGTAGCTGATACCCCAGAGGGCTGTGCTGCCATCCAGAGGGACCTGGACAGACTGGACAACTGGGCGGTGAAAAACCTCATGCAATTCAACAAGGCCAAGTGCAAGGTCCTGCACCTGGGGAGGAATAACCCCAGACACCAGTACAGGCTGGGGACCGACCTTGTGGAGAGCAGCTCTGCAGAGAAAGACCTGCGTGTCATGGTGGATGATAAGTTGACCATGAGGCAGCAGTGGGCCCTCGTGAAAGCAGCCTCAGGGACAGGAGCAGACAGGGTTTCCCCTTCCTCGTTCTCATGAGCTGCTCTGTTTTATGCTATAAAACTTGCAGTGTTTTGCCTCGTGCCCATAAAGTCATCTCGAGATTGGCATTTGGTAAGTGAACACTCCTAGATCATCCAGCTTAGCTCTGGGTATTATTTGAGCATAAATAATTGCAGACTGCAATTGGTGTTCTTTCCCATTTTTGAAATATTTGACTTTTTAATTCTCTATTCATTTAGATAGTTGATTCTTGCTTTATTTTTTCTCTAAATACATTGGGTCTTGATACGCATGTGCCCACTGCCAATCACTAGTCCTTCCATATAATAGCGCTAGGCCAGAGTTTTCATACACATGATTTTTATAAGCTTTTATGATCTATGGTTGTCATGTTTTTTGGTGGAAAACATATCAGAGGAAATAATTTCAACAGAAGCTTTTTAAAGTATCAGTATATTACTTAAACTCTCAACCACTGTTAAATAGCATGTCTTCATTTTATAGCATTATGCCTGTACAGCCTGGTTGAGAAAATTGTTCTTTATACTTGTTGAAGGAATATATAGTTTTTGATGTAGCGGATGATGGTTTAATGTAAAAGTTGTGACATTTCCTTTAGGGAATTGTAAGACATTTCCAGCATAAATAGGTTGAGAAGGATAATCAATTATTTCCTCTCTTGAAATGTTGCTTCATTTATGATCCCTGATAATTGTAAATGCAGGGGAAAGTGGTTTCTAATAGAAACAAGATCCCAGATGTGTCCCTAACATGATGTAGATACTGGCTACTAATTGAACAAATTAAAGGTTTTTTTTCTTTCTTTCAAAATTAATACCAATTATGCCTGAAAATTCTTCATCCTTTCTTTGGTTACTAGGGTAAGTTCAGCAGCCAAGACCTGCAATAAGATAAAAGTATGAGAAGGGAAAAAAAAGTGCCCTGCGTGTGACTTAACGAACTATACGTTAAGAATTCTGATATTTTTTGAATTCCCTTATTCATTTTTCTTCTTTATCTTTAAACAAATTCTCCTCACTATCCCTTTAGACTTGAATGAATGTAATACGTATGGAAGCTGCAGCCAGATGTGTGCGAATACAGACGGATCATACACTTGCAGCTGCGTGGAGGGTTATGTACTTCAGCCTGACAACAAGTCTTGCAAGATCAAAAATGGTAAGTTCTAATCTCTCCTTACTTTAAGGAAGACACTGTTTCTGTTGTTTTGCTTCTGTCTAGAGTATATATATGATAAAATAGATAGAAATGAGCTCTAAGTAGAGATGGACGTTCCTTCAGTTGATTAGAAGAGCCACCCTTATTGACCCTGGAACACTTTGCACATACTATGACAATACTCCAAGGGCATTATTAGAAGTTATTATATGGTTATTATTAATTAACATGAAACACTCAATTCACCCAAGAGTAGAACAGTTTCCAGTTTCCCTTTTCATAAATAAGTCAAAGATTTTCCCCACACAATCTAAATAAGCTGTTTGCTCTGTTAAGACAGTGGAGATGGTGACAAGGCAGAAGAAATTATCATAAGGTAATTGTACCCGTAGGATAAAAAAAGACATGAGATTGCTTTGTCCTTGAAAGATCCCAAGAGGTGAATTTCATTACTAACATATTCACACTAGACTTTCTTTGTTACTTAATGCATATTTTCATTAGTAATAATAAATTGAGTATTTGAAGGAATTAGTAAATTGTGTTTAATGAAGCCATATTGTGCAAAGTATTTTCTTACTCAGCACATTGACTTAATAACCTTTTTCTTTAAAAAAAAATGCTTTTGTTATTCAATCATTTCACCATCTGTGATGATTCAAGACCCACGTCTAAAACTACATTAGTTATATTTTTATTTAAGTTTCTTCATTTGGGATTTTTTTAAGTTTCCTGTAGGTATTGTGCCATTATAAAATGTGAAAATCTAAAGTTTTTTTTGAGGTTTCTTCAACAAAAAGGTGTTGCTAAGCATGCTCAAACTTGAGCACCAGTAAGAATATGATTTCTTATTTGTTTCTGTCAAATTTCATATTGATCCAGGCAACATAGCTTTGTACTGAGAACAAAGTCACTGAGATAAGTATGCAATACTAGCAATTTCATACCAGCTAAAAATACTTTAATATGCTTCCTCCTCCACTACATAAAGAATCAATAATAACGTAATTTTCGATCAGAAGGATTTCAGGGAGCTAGCAGCAGAGGTGAGATGGGCCTGAGCTTCCCATCTTGGATCCATCAGGCTGTGTAGAGCGCTCTCGGTGTCCAGGTGGTCTCGGTGAAATGAGTCTCTTCAGCTGCAATGGAGAAAAACTCCTCTGTCTTTTGTAGTGTCTCATCATATTTATTTTGCAGCAATTTTCATCTTTTCTGATATTTGCAGCAGAGAATCACCAGGCATTAATCAGAGCAATCACTGTGGGCTAGTACAAATCAAGATCATGGTGCTGTGAAGAAATGAATGTTGCTCTTGTTACACTGGTTCTGTGCGTAAACATAACTTTTCCCTGAAGCAAAGATGGATTAAATAATCAAGATATGGACTATTTAGACCACATACTTCATTGCGCCTGGAGGTCTAAAAGAAGCCTGGTGAGGAAACGATGGCATCTTGGTTGCTGAATACTGCAACAGCTCCAACAGCCTGTAGGGGCTTAGCTTCACAGGACCCAGCTTAGAGGGAGGCAGATAGAGAAGTTCCCCCATGCACCAGGTAGCCGTCCTTCACCATTTATAAGCAGACTGATAACACAGCCTACTTTTCACAAGTTGCCCCTTGTAGGATAAGGCTCAAGCTGGGAGGACAGCAAGGCGCTGCCCTGCACGAGTAAGGAGGGAAGAGCAACTACCAGGGACCCGTTAGAAAAGTACGATCTAAAATGTGTCCTGCATCCCTAGGCAAAAATGAGTCCTAAATGTCCCACTCCTTACAGTTGGGGAGTGAGGGGACAAGGACTATCCTGATGTGTGTAAGTAGGATTATTCCTTGCAAGACGTTTAAGATAATCCTGACACCAGGCCAGGAGGACACACTCCAGCAGAATACTATAAGTACATAGGTATTTAGGGAAATAAAAACAGCACTTCTGAAGGAAAAAAAAAAAAAAAACTTTATTTGTTAATTATTTGCCAGTAGAGACTCTAGCTGCTTCCTCCTCCTTTCATGAGCTCCCCAAGTTCTGCCTTGCCCTGGCACCCATCACCACCCAACGCTGCTGCTGCTCCAGCAAGTCAGTGCTTGCCAGAGAGGCAGCTTCCCTGCCCGTGAGGCAGCCAGATGCTGAGCTGTTGAAGGTGGGTAGGTTTATCCTTCATTCAATTCTGCATTTTCTCCTCAGCTCATTTAAATAGCTTTGGAGCCTGAAACTTTTAGCTGCACGGTCCCTTTGGGAAGGATGTTAGAATGGGTATCAAAAGAGCTAGGGGCACCCCATGGCTCGCGCCAGGCTTTCTAACCATGCTTGTTTCTAATGACTCCTTCCGAGGTGAAAAGGAAACTAAATGCAGCTCTGCTGAACAGAGCTCCAGAGCTTGTTTATCAAGATTTTATGCCTCTATCACCAGGCCTGCATCTGATGAAAAGAATATTTAAGGGAACGAAATGACAGAATTGGGAATCTTTAGGTTAGGAAAAAAAGCTGCCTTTCTTCCCAAACTATCTGGTATGCTTTATTTCTTCCTAGCCTATCTGGAGAGAAACACCATGGGATAAAAAACATCTGTCATACAAATATAGCAGAGTGAACTGGTGTGATTAGAATAAAAATCTGCTTCTGCTATTTTAGAAGACTTTCATCACAAGCTGATTTCACAACACAGCTTTAAAAGAAAACCTCACAGAATTAGTTTCTGAGTCTCAGGAGTAAAATATAATCCATTCTTAGGCATGTTATGGTTAAATATTCATATATATATATATACATATATATATATACATATATATATATATATTCTTAGGTTTTACTTTTAAGGATTCTTCTCCTGAGGGGTGCATTGCAAAGTTACTGGAAAACCCTGATTTTGCTTTTCTCCTTTTCACGTTGCTGCAGTGACACTGTCCTGCCGGCTGCTGTGAAGATGCTCTTCCAGGCAGAGCTGGTGCTGTGGTGGCAGAGCAAAAATCCTCAGCTTCTTCTTTGCTGTGGCATCATTTACTGAGACTAATTCAGATAAGATGAGAGAGGGGAGAAATGCAAGTCTTTCATCATTGTCACTATTATATCTTAAATGTAATTCAAAGGAAGATACTTTCAATTTAGACAAGTGGGATGAATCCTAAAACTTTCCTGCATTAGTCAGCTTTTCAATTCTTATCTTCCATGTAAAATGAAAGGGAAAAGCAAAACTCTGGAAGGACTAACAGCAACCCAGCCTGTCTGCATCCACTAAACTTTATTGATTCCACCCTTGAGAAATGGAAGAAAAAAGCAAAACCTGGAAAAATACTCAGTTTCTTTTGTGTTTTTCAAATATATTTTACAATGTACCTACTAACAGGCTTTATAAAGAATTGTAAGTAATTTTGTGTGTAGCTTTATGATGAAAGTAATTTTAATTAAAAATACTTATTTTTTTTAAGTAAATGTCTAGGACATCAGTGTTTATCTGAGCAACATTGAAATAAATATGTTACCCGGCATAGTGTGAAAGAACATGATTAGCTGACTCAATCCATTGAGTTATTGCTTCTATGGATTGCTTGAAAAATATAATTTCAAGCTCAGTAATCTAGTTTCTGGATAAGTTCTGCAAGGATACGGATGTGTTTTAAATGTTTAATAGTGCCTGCAAAGCCGAAGCTCTTAGTAGTGCCAAGAATACTTATGATTCCTTTGTCTGGAGCCGGGTTTGATTACCGCCGCTGCTTGGGAGTTTCAACACTAATTCTTTTTCAGAATTCCCTTATGTCTTAGGCATTAATACTAAAATACAACCTTTCTCCAGAGTTTAGTGAGGTATTAAATCCTTGTTATAATTTTCAGCAGGTCAGTTCAAAACACTTCACGAAAGGAAATGGCTCTCTGTTATAACCTTGCACATATTTCTCTTTTGGAAGAAGGAAGGCTAGGAGCTTCCCTTGAGGCTTATCCCACTTCATAACAAGTTGCTTTTCTTAAACAAGTCCAATTTCTTCGATCGTTTCCTGCCTTTCAAATTTTTCAATTTTTTTTTTTTTTTTAATGGATATCAGTGATACATTGTTGGAACTGAATGTGGGAGGATTTGAGGACAAAGCAACTTAGGAAGGGAATAAATTTTGAGAAGTGTGGCAGAGTACACACTATGGAAAGAAAAACAACAGGAAAAGAGTCAAAGAAAGCCAGCTTGGAAAAGATGCATGCTGATCCACTATAGAAAAGAAACTTTTTGGTAACAAAGTAAACAAAATGCGAAAGAGATGTTTAAAGAGAAGTATGTTGGACCAAAGAATAGACTTTAACACCTACTTCTGTGGAGACCACTGAGCAACGCATTCACTAAGCGTTTTTCCTCTTTAATTAGACATGCTGATGAAGTATTATTTGTCAGATCCTTCAATGTATTTAATTTTTTCCCTATTCCTTCAGCTCAGAAAAAAATTGAAAACTTTATTAAGCAGAATATTGATGGAAAATAGTACATTTAAATACAGCATTTAAACCCTGATTTATTCCTTTGAATGTAAGCAGATTGCTTTGGCGTGAGAGCTCTTGACTCAGCAACACAAGCATTTTTCACACAGGCTTGGCAATTACAGTGTGAGACTGCAGGTTTTAGGGCAAAGTTTTCAGCACACAGTTTCGGCAAGTTTGCCCACTCGCCAGCGTTATATAATTTCCCAAACGAGCGGGACATGCTGTAATGTTGACCATGCTGCAAGGGGCAAGTTTCCATTGCCTGACTCCTGTGAACGTATCTTATTACAAAAATAAACATCATTGTTGCTGAATTAAACCCAAAGCAAGTTTCAATAGTAAGTTTTCAGGGAATTTCAGTTTCCTTAAAGGTACAAAGAAGTTCTACACAATTCTGCGTGGTCACTTGATCTTGGGGGTTGGTGTTTCTGCTAAGTCCTCAGTAACAGCTTTAGCCATTCGGTGAGGCTGAGGCAATTTGAGTCCTCTATAAGCATCTAGTCTGTGTGGAAAATGGTACTTTCACCTGGAAACACTGCATCTGACAGCACTAACTTGTACAGTATTTCTTTGGTACAGCCCATCTGTTCTCACCTTCAGCATATAAATAGGTGTCAGTAGTTCTTGGATTACCTGTTATACTTCCATAGATTCTCTGGGAAAAACAAAAGGTAAAATTCACTCTGTCCATCAAGCAGTCAGGAAAATGAAGCAGATTAAGGGTTACAATGACACCCCTGAACAGGAAATGTGAAGGGTATATGGGAAAACGCTTTCCCATATAGAAGCAGTGTAGCAGCTTCTTGCATTGACTCTTGACCTTGCTCTTATCAACAGCCTGCTACCCATAGCACTGCAAACCTATTTTCCCCTCTAAGAGATTTCTATATTTGTGTGACTCCAGTTTAATCATCAGCTCGAAAAAAAAAACGTTGCTTGTAATGACAACTTGTAGAAGCAATTGTTTCTACTGCAGCTAAATACCAGCTTATCGTGAGGCCCCTGGTCCAGCAGGGATGCTCAGGCCCTTGCAACAGCAGCTCTGTGTGCAAGGCAGCACCCCAACGCTTGGGTCTGCCTGGGAGGCTCAGCCAAAGCAGAGATCTCTTCTTCTCTGGCAAGGAGCTGCTTGTATGGATGAGATGCCGTGCTCTGCTAGAGACTGAAAACCTGCATTGGCTTGACTAGGTGTGTTTTAATCCTAGTCAACAAGAAAATGTTTGGAGATGCTGTGAAACCTCCACTGTATACACCTGCCCCTCGCTTCCAACAGTTGAGCTTTGGGTACTGCAGTTTGTGGTTATGCAATCCAGTTTTATTTGCATGTGTTCCTCTCTCAGAGAATGGGTGTAACATCCTCCTGCGGATTGCTTCCTCATATGCATTTTTTACTGTGATTTGAATGTATTCCTCATGGAAAACTTCACGTTCTCAATTCCTTTGTCACCGTCAGGACACTCCACTGCATAAAGCTTTCTGCCCAGCTGTTATGCCTGATGTGTGATATAGCCAGATTTCATTGCATTAGTTTTTCTTTAAGCTGAATTCACCTAGTTTTTGTCTTATTTTCCAGACTGGTAATATGAAAAGTATCTTAGTATTTCAGGTATACTCACAAGTTCGTCATTTTTTCTTGACCTATATTCTTTTAACAATGTCAGTAATCCAGATAGAAATGATTTGCATAATTTGTATTTTTTATGATTTAGATATGGAAAAAAATGCTGCAATAATGATACTTTGAATTTAACAGAAGCTATGGCCATGGTAATGAATTTTCTTTAATGATGTGAACCATTATAACAGCAGAATAAAACAGAATTGTAATTTGGTATATCTGATAGGTATGAGGATCAAAACGAAAAGGCAATTTATTATGTCTCCTAAAAGAATCAGATAAAGGTATATAAAACTACATTAAAACTGGAAAGATAAATATGATCTGTTAGAGTCTGTTTACACTTTAATTTCTCTCTGCTTTGTTTTTAGAGCCCACTGATAGACCTCCACTTCTGCTGGTTGCAAACTCTGAAACAGTTGAGGTCTTGTATCTTAATGGAAGCAGAGCGTCCACCCGAGCTCCTGTGAAAGGATCTGCAGTTTTTACACTAGATTATGTTTACAAAGAGGACACAATTTGTTGGATTGAATCCAAAGATCCTTTAAGTCAGTTGAAATGCATCAAGATAACAAAAGCTGGGAAGTTAGCAGATGAATGGATAATAAACATTGCTCAGTATCTTCACAGTAAGTACTTGACAGTCTTTTAGCAAAACCATATAAAATGCCTATCTTTGCAAACTTGCAGGAGACTTTATAGCTATTTTGGTGCTTCCTGGTCTTAGCTGATCTTAACTGAAAGTCATAAATACTTTTATGTTTCCTTCTCTAAGATATATCGGAGGTTTTTAAAGGTGTGTATTTTTGTAGTCCAAATATAATGCATAAAAGGTGTGGTCTTCCAAAAACAGGATGGTGCAGAGGAGGAAGAAATGTAGGAAAGCCTCTCTTTTTCTGATGAGGTAGGGCTTTGTAAAGCTTGGAAAAGATTCTTTGCTACTGGAACAATACTTTTAAGAAGGAATTAATGAGAGAATATGCTTGTCTCATTTGCTGTCAATGCTCATAGCTATATTAGCTTTTTAAAATAATATAATTTCTGATTTATTGGAAATAGATCGCTGCCTTTTTTTGCAGTCAGAAAGATTTAACTTGTAACACTGAAGTAGTCTCCTGCATTACATCATTAATTTTTAATCATCTTCTCAGTTGGTGGACTCTGCTTATTTCTGTAGGAGTTGTTGATCCATTTAGATATTTTTATGTGAATAGGCAACAGAATAACATACATGCTTTTCTTTGAAAAAAATGCAATTTTCTTCATCTTTTGCAGAAGACTTGTCCACACATGAGCTTGTAAAGCACGGCACTGTACAGTGTAGTGATGGTGTTAATAGTAGGGTTCAGAAAACCAGGAACGGGACTCTCCATTGGTTTGCACTGGACCTAAGTTTTTGAAAAATCCTTTAAGTAGAGTTGGACAGCAAAGAATAAGTCGGAACTGGATTTTCTGACTGTCCAGTTCAGAAATATTCAAATCACAGTTTTGCTTAGACCTCTTGCAGGTGCCTGTCAAAGTAGTAAATTCTTTCCAGAGATTGTGCGTTATACTGCCAAGATAGCTGCTGTTAAGATGTAGCATTTTTTTCCTAAGGTAAGAGATTGATTTCTCTTTATTTTTTCTAACTCCAACTTTATTATGTGAAAAATTAAATTGAAAAAGAAAGATGATAACTTATTTTTTTCTTTTTTTGTTAATTAACCAGTCATTGTGACTCTTACATTTAGAGAGCTCATTTATCCTAGTTGTAGAGCATAGTTATATTTTTTTTAGCTTTTTTTCTTTTCTTTTTTTGCATTTTTAATGTTGTATTTTAGAGGATTTTTCATACTTTTGGTATCTTAAGAATCTCAGTGGTCATGTCTGAATATGCCTTCTTAATTCATTCTGTTATTGTTATTTTTATATTTTTTTCATTTTAGTAAGAGCAATCAAATTAACTGCAGTCCTTAGCAAAATTTGTTTTGTATCGAGCTGTGTGTGTGTCTGTTCTGTCACGTATCTTCATCATCAAAGTGGATCTTAGTGGTGTATTTTTAGTTTTTCACCAGTCCTTGCCTGCAATCCTCTCCCTCTGTTCTCTGCGTGCAAAAAGAACTGCTAATCTCTGTGGTGTTTGGATCTGCATTAGCACATCTGTTTGCAAAATTAAGGCTGTATTATGTGTTTGAAATGAATACAGTGCCTGGAATTAATGAGCTAATCATTTTTCATAGTGTTACTACACATCAGTGTGGACTCTGATGTTTTTCTGAAACTTAACTGTGCTCATTCATTCTTGTTGAAATTAGGAATCAGAATTCCCATGGACATGGATTGACTGCGGAGACTTGTTCCAACTTAGCGTTTAGTTTTGGCTTAGGGAGCAGGGCTTGGAGCTCTCAAGGACCAAACTTGGTGGATGTGGTGGTTGGCTCCATCCCCAGTGGGTGGGAGAGCTGCTCCCACCTCACTCTCCAGCCTGTCCCCTGGGACAGCACGGACCACACACAGCTCCTTTTGTGGGAATGGCAACTTCCCAGAAGGTCCCCTCACAGCTCCCATATCCTCTGCTATTCAGTGTAGACATTCCCCACTTGATAAACTCTTCCCTTGCTGATGTACACGTGGAGTTGCTCTGTCTGCTCATGGACGTGCCCAGAGTCTGGGTGCATGTCTGCAAATGTGTATAGATCAGCTCATGACTGCAGCCCAAATTTGAGCTTTAATCTTAAATTATTCCTTCCCTGCCACCACCTGCTCACCATCAGGAGACTCCTGCCGTTTCTCTTCATTTGATAGCACCTATTTCAGGTGTGGGCAAGGAATTCATTTCAGCTGCTTGTGCAATGCTTTGGCCTCAGCATCTGCAAGGGTGAGTGTGGTCTCTGGCAGCTCAAGCCAGACAAATGCTCACGCTTCTGGACTGCTCATAGGAAATCTGTTCTTCATAGGAAACTTCTATATTTGTGTGTTTCTTCTATTTGTATTATTATTATTTAGCAAGAAAATATCTACCTATCTAGCCAGAAAGAGAACAGGGCTGTTTGTAAATTCTTAGAGATGTCCACGGGATTTTTAAATTCATTTACCCTGGTTTTCTAATGTCTTCTTAATTAGTTATCTGGGTGAAAACATATCGTAAAACATATCATCATTTGCATATGACACAAAAATTGGTAGAAAAGTCAGTTATACAAAGTGTATGGGGCTGCTTGAAGTGGATTTATTCAAAGTGTTTGTTTTAGCACAAGCAGCTATAATGTCTTGTAATTAGGAACAAAGACTGTAGATTGTATTTTAAGATGAAAGAGTACATTTAGGAAAGCAGAGACCGTGGAAATTACTTTGTTTTTGTGATAGATTGTAGAGTACAAGCTCTACGTAGTGACCATAAGCCTTGGATTTATGAAAGAGAGGACATTTCTTTTTTTCAATCCTTTTTCTCAGAGACAGCCCACTGTGATTTCATGTTGCTATACACGTGTGTCCCAGAAAGATGCAACCAGATGTGTGCCCTGCATCTCTCGCTTGCTCCGCACGAGGACAGAGCAGTCGGGCAGGCAGGTCCTGCGCTCCCGTGTCACCTGCTGCAGGAGAACGGGCTGGACACCCTGTGCTGGGGCTTCCCAGCCTCAATAAGCTCATTGGTGCCTGAGGAGATTTATTAGGTCACTGGTAGTTATTTTTTGTTTGCTTGTTTGATAGATTTCTTCTTTCAAGTAGGAATAGATCAACCAGGCACACATGCAGGCAGGGCAGGGGGGTTGCAGGGTTTTGTTGGGGTTGTTGGGTTTTATCTCCTTTGGGCATTTAGATCGTACAGAAGCAAATTCCCAGATTTCCACCCCCCTGCCAGCCCTAGCGCACATCCCAGCAGTGATTAACCACAACTACAAATGTGCAGCTCAAAACAGCTACTGTCACTTGGCGTTTATGGAGCTCAATCTCGGAAGGAAGCACTTAGCACTAAGGATGGAGCTTCTGTCTGCAAACTTCCTATAAAGTTTCTGTGAATATTCATGAGGAATCAAAGTGGAGTTAGACTTACACAGGAGGAGGACGAATCTGTAGGTTTTTTCCTCCCAATAGAAGTCTGCCCACTGAGCTTGTCTCCAGGTAGGTGTGATGAGCTGTCATATGGTTGTAAAATGAAAATTTACTTTTTCCTCTGGGATAGACAGCCCTGTTTGAAAAAGGCAACATTTGTGGGGTTACAGGTGCTGAGACTTCAACTAGACTCTCAGTTTATAACGAGCTCAAGCGCTCACAGAATTGTTTCTCCCCAATGCCTGTCCTATCTCTCTGAACACTTTCTTGTAGAAGAAAGCAGTAAAGAATTGGAGGTGAAAAGAGCATCCTAGAGCACCATCACAGTGCACAGAGCCTGCCTGCGGCGCCCGCTCGCAGACCTAGAGCGCTCGCTGATCTCCTGCAGTTGTTCTTACATTTCTGGGAAGATGGGACAATTCATTCCCCATCCTGGTGCAGCTGGACTTGCCCAGCTTCTCACCTAGGCAGGTGTCACATCCCTGATGAGGGACTTTCTTGGAGCAGGGTGGGCTGCTACAGCAGCAGCATGGATGGCAGCAAGTCACAGGGACCAAAGCCACCCCTTCACGGACAGCTGCTCTTCAGCACCGCGCAATGTCAGGGTGCTTTAGAGGCATCTTATCAGTTTTGTCTGGTTTGTTTCTGATTATTGATCAAACACAGTGTTTTTGATAGTCATCAGGCTTCCTAGAGTAGTCCATAGCTTCATGTTACACTCAGTCGTTCAGTCTTTCTCAGAGGCAGTCTGAGATATCACCTGAAGCTTGTGGGATTTCTATGTCATGATCAGTTTGTATCTTCCTGGACACAACTAACACTGTGTTATAATATGGAATTAAATAATGGATATTTAATGGGCTTAGACACATTTTCTTGAAATTCTTTGACATCCGTATATACCATGTAAGAATCTTTCTGGATAGTCATTGGTACTTCTCTTTTCTAATATCATTTTCACATACACAGAGGAAAAAAAAAACTGATCTGAACTTACTCTGTTTCTAAAAATTCACTGTGTGCCTCAGTAATTGGCAAATTTCCAGGAAAATGAAGACATTTGCATAGCAGAGATTTCTCAGCGTGCAGGAAAGACGTTCCGTTAGTTCCCTCCTGGCTGAGCAGTTTCTTTGCTCTCCAGTGAAACCAGAAAGCCCTTTTCTTGCAAGATGCTGCAAGTGAAAGAAAGCCAGAATGATGTTACTGTCCAGAACAAGACTTGTAGGGATGCTAGACTCCTTTGGGATGCTACGTGGGATCCAAGCAATCATTTTTAGCTCTGGCATTGTGAAAATTCTTCTTCTTTTGTAGCAGAGCCTCCTTCAACTTGAAGGCTCTTGAGGTGCCCTCAGTATTCAATGAAGCTTCTCTCCTGCCTTAAAAAAAAGGCAGGTCCATAGGGGAGCTCTACCAAAGATATGGATTTGTACACTGCCCATGTTGCTGGCATTGGATGTGAACACCATGCTTTAGGTGCACATTCTTGAGGGTTGTTTTCAGCAGCAGTACCTAATTAAGAAATTAGTATTAAATACCATCAGCTAAATCTATATGCACGATTTGTTTTCATACATTGTTGATACTTTTTATCAAATGT